TTATGGCCTTGAACTCTAACTGGAAAATGGGCTCTGCAGATTTTTTATTTCCTAGCTTCCATAATTATGTGAAGCAATTCCTTATAACACACATGCACTCATACACACACCCACACGGGCACCCCCACCCACACCCACGCCCACTCCCGCACCCGCACCTGGACCCCAACCGGCACCCCCACCCGCACCCCCACCCGTGCCCACGCCCACACCCCCACCTGCTCCCACTCCCGCACCCGCACCGGTTGCTTCTGTTTTTCATCCTGAAGTCAACTGGGGTGACTTAAATAGGTCACTACTGTCCAGAGCGGACCAAGGCCTGCGGGGCTCAGGCAGGCGATGGGAGCGGCTCCGAGAAGAGACCCTCAGGGCCCCCTTTCTGTGTGACCCAATTGCCCAGGGCACAGTTAGAGGACAAAACTAGGACCAGGAACGCTGCCCCAGGGCTGATGGCGCGGGGCAGTCAGAGCGCCATGACTGTGATGGGCGGGGCCAGGAGGTGACTTCAGCACCAGGCCACCAAGCAGCCCAGAGCAGAGCTGCCAGGCCTGACTTGTGCCCAGACGCCAGAAATGCAGGCCTGCACGGGACTGGAAGGAAATGACACATTATCTCAATAAAACATAGTCGGCCGCGTCACCGGCCTGCACACGGTCACAGGCCACCTCTGGATCAGTCCCCAGCACAAGCGGAAGGCAGTGAGCAGAGGCCATGGCAGAGCCACAGAGGGAAAGAGGCTGCTTGGGTCCCCAAGAAGAAGCGTGGCCAGAGGAAGCCGAGCCCAGGCCCCTGTGAAATTGGGGGTGTCTGGCTCCCCGGCAGCGTTAGCCGGGCTCAGAAGCTGGGGTCACACCGACTTGTGCATCAGCTACTCTGACCTCCCGGGGGGCTGAGGGGGCTGCGGCACAGCACCAGCAACGCGCCAGAACATTCTCTCTGTGCCTATCAGATTCCGGGCTGCCCGTGGCCTGGAGGAGGGTCAGCCAGGAGGTGACCCCACAGGACTTCCAAACTCCGGGGGCCGCTCCCCGCTCTGGAGATGGCCCACGTCCTCTCTTGAATGTGCCTAATAAACCTCTGGGTCTCTGGGGAAAACAGAACTTCCTGGAACTTTACAGAAGATAAGGCTCAGAGTCTCTTGTGCGCTTTTTGCCTTAAACCTTCCTGAAAATTTTTCAACTGTCTTAATACAATTAAGTTCTAACTGCCTTGCCCCTTGGCCCCAAAGATGAACGGACCTCTCCCCTGCCCGGAAGCTCCCGGGGGACCAGGTTCAGAGAGTCTTGCAGGTCACAACTCGGGCCCAGAGCTCCGCAGGTGCGTCTGTCATGCTGAGTCCTGGGGGGACATGAAGACCACCAGGAACAGCTGTCTCCTCTGGAGAATAACGTGGATGTAAAAGAGGAAGAACGACATAATGAGAGAAAAACATGTAAAAGGTGTCGGAGGCAGATCCACGTGTGCACCCACCGGGAGAAACCTGGGAAGTTGGGGCATTTGAACAAATCCCCGTCCACCCACGTTTTCCCGCCTTTTTCTTTTTTTGGCTGTGGTTTTCCCAAAATAAAACGCAAAAAGAATTCCAGCTGTGGGGAGGCTCTGGTCTGTTGCTGACCGCCCGTGGCCTTACCTCCTACTGGCAGTGTGGTGTTACTCCAAAGAAGCCCCTGCACAGGGTCCCCGGCCCATGGGCTCCCCTGCCGTGGTCCTCGGCCTTCCCGCCACCCGTGCAGTCCAGGTGCCCACATGCTGATCCCCACTGCCCAGTGCCCCTGCTTCCACGTCACACCTGGGAGCTCACCCTGGGAGGCAGATGGCCCTCCACCCCGAGACGCAGGGCCTAGACTGGCAGGGTTCCCTCCTGAGCAGTTCCGCGGCCTCCCTGCACCGCCCCTCGGTCTCCCCTGCTGCCCCTGGGGTGCCACAGAGCCGCGTCCCAGGATGGAGGAGCTGGTGTGGAGGTGGCGCCCGTGAGGTGCTCTGAAACGGCCGTCACCCCAGCCCACAGCGCACTGAAACCGCTCCACCGCCACAACTCAGACTGCAGGATTCCCCTCCGACCACAGCTTTCTCTCTCGCCTGAGGGGCCCACTTTTCATCTTTGCGGGGATCCCCCAAGACTCCTGCCCTCCATGGCCCCCCGGACGAGCCTCCTTTCTGCTCCCTTTAACGGGGCACCTTCCGCCCAGCACCTGAAACCCACCCTGCACAGGAGGCCCAGGCAGGACCTGTCACTGCCCGAGAGGGGTGGCACCCGGGGGAGGGGACCCTGCTGGGCTTTGTGTCCTCTACTGTAGGTGCACTTCACAGCCCAGGGCCCTGGACACGGCCGCCTTCCTCCTGGGAGACGGGGCTGAGGTCTGAAGCTGCGCGGGACACACCACTCGCGTGATCTCCCCGCCCAGCACAGGGGACCTAGCCCAGGGCCGCTCTGCCACTGAGCCACGTCCCAGCCCTTTCTAGTTTTTACTTGGAAACAGGTTCTCACTAAGTTGTGCAGACTGGCCTCAAACTTGCCATCCTCCTGCCTCAGGCTCCTGAGCTGCTGGGATCACCGCTGAGCACCGCCACGCCCAGCCTCAACATCAGGTTTACAAGGGAAAACCCAGCTCTCCCCCAGGCTCAACACACTGCAGTCCGGGGCCCACATCCGGCCCGTTTTTTGTAAATAAAGTTTTATGGGAACACTGTTCACTGGCCAGCAAAGCGGAAAATATTCACCCATAAAACCCAAGTCAACCCAAATGGAGTAACTACCCCCCCACTCTCTCCAGACCCCAAATCCCACCTTTAGAAGCTGTAGTGTGGGAGCTGCCTGAGGGGCAGACCCAGGGGTTGTGCCAGAACTCAGGACACCTCATCTCTGAGGACACAAGAGGTGGGTCGTGACCAGGAAGGGGCCTGGGGACCTCTGGAGATGCATGGGTGACTCGGGGATCAGTGCCCTTAGGATGCCACCCCTTGATTTTTTAAAAAGTTTCTGTTTAAAGCCACTAACCCAAGACAGATCTTTGCACGTCACTCTAGAAATCATCCATGTGCTAGAAACCAGCAGCTCCTCCGCGTTTATTCAAATACGTCCAAAACTATGTCCACACAAGGGCAACGTCCGCAGTTTACAGCGGCTTTATCCATAACTGCCCAAACTCCGGGCCGCTAAGGAGCCCTTCGACAGAGAAACGGACAGACGGACGGACGTGGGATGTAGGCCCACGGAGTTGTCAACTTGAGGCCCCCAGGAACCGTGCGCTCACGGCTGAGCAAGAGGAGCCGGTCTGAAGGCCATGTGCGGCGGGATCCCAACTCTCCCCACGTCTTGGGGACAGTGAAAAGACCAGTGGTCACCAAGGATTCTGAGGGGTGGGGAGAGGGAAGAGGTGGGACGCGGGGGTTTTAGGAGGCCGATGTGCCCGCCTGTCGGATCCCAAGTGACGCACAACCCAAGGAGGGACCCTCACGTGAACCGTGGACTCTAGCTCATCGATGGCTGTAGCTCATCAGTTGGAGCGCGTGTCCCCAGCTCATGCAGGACACGACTAGCAGGGGCAGCGGTGGGGTGGGAGGGGCTCATGGGAACCGTGCTTTCCGCTCCGTTTTTCTGTAAACTGCTCTTAAAAATAGGACTAATGATCACAGTAAGGTGACGGGCACAGGTGGGGTGGGCGCCGTGTCTACACAGAGTGGACCCATCGGGGCGCGTCGGCACTTACTCCAATGAACCGGAACCTTGCGGAAAGCCCCAGGAACGTTCACG